GGGGGGGGGGGTATGACGTAAGCTACGGCGTATCATCCGTCCAAGTCGGGCCCAACGAGGTGGGCAGTAAGCAGGTAGACGAAGGGGATAGGAGGGGAGGGAGGGGGCGTTGTCGCTCGTTGCGAAACCGCACGGATTTCACTTTCGCTATGTGCTCTCGCCTTAAGTCCGCGTTACTCGGCGGCGAGACGATACGTGAGTTCGCGCGTGCAATCGATTTCGCGAATGGCCGCCGTAACGGACGCGCCGTTCGAATCGTCGTAGATGGCGCCACCGGGTAAACAATAACGACAACGGAAAGATACCGGAACGACGTGTCATTCGAATTCGTTAAGGTAAACGATAGAAGCGAAAAAGTTGTCGTGACTTTGTTTTCTTTTTCATTTCTTTCTCCGCGCACGCGGACAATCGAACAATGGTCAAAAATTTTACGGCGTCAGCCTCGGTCCCTATGGTGGAAAACCGCACCGGTAGACCCGACGTCAAACGCAGTCCCCGGATGATCGACTTTCGCGGTGGCAGGTTGCAGAGATGCAAAATTTTTGTACGGAAACTCGCACGGGTCTTCGGGTACGGTAATAGGAGAGATCGCCTCTTGGCAAGGGTCTGTGTTTTCTCGTTAAAAATATATGAAAAAAAAATGCGCCAGAGACGAATACCGGCGATGATGAGAGCAGAGCCCCCGCACAAGCCGGAATAGAGGATATGTCCTGGTTGCCCTAGATCAAGTACTCGACCCGTGGGTATTTTTAAAAGATCGCGCCAGGGACGACGTAACTCGGGATTCGTCGTCGTGATTCGGAAACCCTCTGCCACCCCCGCCTTTGGCTCCTGTCGTTCACTCTCCCCCCTCCACCTCCACCTCCCCTTACTCGTAGAAGATAGGCGTCGAGATACAGACTCGACGTACGACGTCGCGGTGCGGGGAGGGAGTGGGGGGAGGACGAAAAAAAAAAAGCAATTGGAGCCAACCTTGCGAATTTTTACGACAACACAGGCTTACGCAACGTTTAAATGTCCGCCGGACTTTAGAAAATTGTCAAATAAATAATTCGCGTACCTCTACGCGGCAGCTGCGCGTCTCTGTGACGGTCTAGGACACTGTCATCGTTGCAGAAATATTTTGATACGGTACTCTGGTATTTTGCAAAAATTTTCTATCTTTGTCTTTTTTTATTTATTTTTTTTTTTTTTACTGGTCACTCTTTCTCTTCACTGTTTATATACACCCTCTTGGCGCTCTGTCTCGTCCAAGCCGCCGTGTTGTTCGGCTATTTATAATGCCCCGCGAAATTCGTAACGCGAAAATTGAATCCACGAAATACGATTCTCCTGGTCCGTGGGCGACAGACGCCTCTGTCAGTCTCTTTGGGATGCAGTCGCGCGACGTTCATGTTTGACGCGTTTGAAAATTCCCGCCGCTCCTGATCAATAACGTCTACGCGGTTCGCCGAGGCTTTCGAGCGTTACGTAATCAGCGCGGAGAGTCCCGTGTAAAAATAAAGAACGTCGAGAGTGGATTCCGTGGCTAGACTGGGTCTGGGTCTAGGTCTAGGTCGACTGCCGAGGCAGGCGTGGTCGCTCTCTCTCTCTCTCTCTTTCTCTATTCTCTTCCTTCCTCCCCTCTCTCTCTCTCTCTCTCTCTCTCTCTTACTCCGGTACGCTCCACTTCCTGACCGAGTTCGAGCAATCCCCATTCCCTACTTCCTCTAGCCGCGCCGTTTCCTACCGGCGTCCCTCTTGCTCCCTGGCTGTTTCCACTGCAGTCCGGAAGTTCATTACACTTCCGTGTAATGCATACAAGCTTCGTGCCCGTGTATACGCATATACCATATATAGAGAGAATCAACAAGAAAGGGTGAAGGTCTTTCGCTGCTGTTATAACGGCGGATCGTTAGCCACGAATATCCCGGCAGGAAGTTTTCGTGTTTGGATACGCGTGCGATAAGTGTGTCGATGACGTGTTAAAAAAAAAAAAAAAAAAAAAAATTATTGAAAAATAAGAAAGGTGGTTATTGAATGGAATTTAAAAAATCACTACTCGTTACGGATGACAATTACATATATTTTTTTTTTTCCTTCGGGATAACTTTTATATCGGGACCCCGAATAACCGGATATGACATCGGGACTTATTTCTCGTTCTTCCTCGTCCCTCCCCCCCCCCCATCTTCCTGCTATGCCGTTTGCTCCTCCTGGTGCACCTTTCTTCTTTTTTTTCTTCTCTCTCTTTTCCTTGCCTCTCGTTCCACGCGGAGCATCGACGTAGGTGAAAGATGCCGGGTCTACGCGAGATAGGCCGTGGCAGTCGGGCTTTTGCCGCATATACGTATATACCAGGCTGGCTGGGCAGCGTCCTTCCTGGGTCTCTGCCCCTACTGTCGGGGCTCTCCGTTGCAGTATTGTATATTTGCAGTGTACGTATTATCGGACCGCGTGAGTGTGCTGCTACCACGGAGTCGCCGCCGGCAAAAATGCATAGCCGCTGCCGCTGCTGCGTCCAGTGGTTCTCAACCCTAAGACGATAATACCGTCGTCAACATTAAAGAGTTGACACAAGGGGATAATTTATATTGAAAAAAAAAAGAAAAGAAAAGAAAACAGAAAAACAGGGAGCAGCGAACGCTCTCGATTTCTTGCGCACTAATTTTTTTTTTTCTACTCTAACAAACTTACGAAATGGCCACGAAACATCTGATAAGCTACGAGCGATAACGTCTTTCCGATGACAAAAAAAAAAAGAAGAAGAAAATAGAGTGAAGTACTCGTTTCCGGTTTGTCAGACGTCCGATAAAAAAGAAAAGAGATTTGATTCACGGTACGTCACTTCCGGTATACCTTAATTCCGCGAAGGAACGTCATTTCCGTGATTCGCGGTGAGCGTCGCTTTTCTTTCCGTATTCCCATTATACCGGCGCACGCGCTCTATACCCCGAGCCAGGTTCACGCAGGGACAACCAATGCAAATTGTGCAGTCCGCTCGTTACCGTGCGTGCGGCTCGCGCACGATTCTTTCTCCGAGACTTCGCGTATGGACAAACGGAGATGCCAATTCAACGCAGCCGGATTCTCGCCCTGTGTGCTTCGCTCTTTCTATGCAGCGTGCTGTGGTATAATGTACCGTCGGGCAGCGGCGGAGGTATGGAGGCTCTCGGTATAGACGATGACCTTGTCGCCGGCAATTCACCCCGTCTGCCCCCCACCATCTCGACTATATTCCCCCGTGACCCCGAACGGCCCGTACACACCCCACGCGCCTCCCTACCGTTTCCCCTCTCACTCTCTCTCTCTCTCTCTCTCTCTCTCTCAG